GTCATTACCAATCTACGAAGAAAAGAGGAGTGTTCAGAGATGTTTTGGAAAAGTATCGTTTCTGCATCTTTTCATTTCTTGGGTCTGGCTGTTAATTTTTGCAGGGTTCCCGTTCCATCAGAGGGTTGTAGTTCCTCCAGTAATGTTACGAAAAGGTACGTTTCTTTTCAACGTCTCATGGGGTAGCCAGATTTCACAACATCTTTTCAACACTGAGAATGTTAGTTGTGAGTTTGTTGTGATTTTCGTTTCTTACTGTCGAATTTTTTTAAGAGATGCTTCATCGCAAGAACTAAGCTCGGTGATGCAGCAAATCAAAATTAGTTCACCGGATTCGCGACCAAAGAAGTCAGTGAAAAGTTTGGTTGGAGTTTCGATTGTTTCCGAAATTTTTGACGTGACAGATGAAATGCATTCAGTGAAAGCAAAGGAACAAGTGTTGTTTCACGCGCTACACAAAAAAGTAATAGAGGAAGAAGTTTGAGGAAACTAAATAAGGGGAAGAGTCACGCTAGGGAGAATTCTATCAGGTATCATAGTACAGATCGATCGTGTATTAACCACCATAGTTCATCTCTTGATCTTCAGTCAGAATCCGCCAGCTGCAGCTGTAGCCGACGAAGAAGACGATGAGGTTGTACACAACAGCCAGGAAGCAGTAGATCCACCTGCAAAGGTGAATCTGAATGTTTTAGACTTAGCTGTACTACATATTTCGTGCCGTAGCATTGCATCTGCTTTGAGGAAAGATGCTACTTTTATTGTTTGTTTTTTTCAGCCTGCGGATGAAAAGCTTCTGAAGGAACCTCACGAGATACTTGCCCTATACAAACGCCTTACCGGTATTGTGCGTAAACCCCCAGAAAAAGTAGAAGATCCATTGAGAAATGGTATGGTCTGCGATTCGAAGTTTTTCGTCTGCGCTGTCTAGTCCTGTTATAGAGTATCGAGAGCTGTTTTGCGTCGGAACTATTTGTGAAAATCTAAGTAATATAATGGCTGCAAGGCTCGCTTCAGGTTGGTTTCACCGCCCTAAGAAGAGAGATTTGCACTATGAATTTCAGCCGGACAACTTCGGAAGCAGCGTTTAGAGTCTTTAACTCAACTCAGGGCTTTGACGCTACGCCTCGAGGAAATGAATAATGCTAACTTGACAATGGAAAAGTAGTTAGTGCTTATTCAAGAGATGATAGTTCTTACTACTTGTTTCTTTTTCGTCTTTGTTTTGACGATGCTGCTCAACGGGATGCTCTCGAAGTAATGAACATCCGATACGAAGAATTATGTGATGACATCTTTGGTGTAGGTTGATCATTTCTAAGTCGAGCGGTTTATGTTTACCGTTTCAGGCTGATGACGAGTTTTTGTCAATGTTTGAAAAA